TCTGCGTCGACAAACTTTGTCTTGGCCGGCGGCTCAGCAAGGCAAAGACAGAGTGCGTCAAAGACATTTTCCATGAATTCTGTTTCGTCGGCGTCCTTGGGGTCTTTGCGCCGGTACGACGCCAGCACCCGCAGCAGCGTGTCTACGCCATCGAGATCGTGGACGCGTGCGCGGTTCGCACGGCTTGTCTGAAGCAGGATCGCGAGCAGCTCGGAGGCGTACTGGCGCACCGAGTCGAAGCCTTTGACGGCGATGCGGCCAAGGATCCATGGAATGATGCTTGTCGAGTCGACAATGCGCTCGGCGAGCGTCGGGTCGATTGAGAGAAAGTTTTCGATGACGCCTGAAGAAAGCATGCTGTCAGCCAATGAGTGGATACAGGCGAGCAGCGTTGCGTCACGCACTGAGTGTGTTGAAGATGCCCTGCTTCTCATCCGGCTTGTCTTCGTTCAGGCGGCCGAGATTAGACACAAGCAGCGGCAGCGCATCTTTTTCGACCAAGGCAGCGACGAGTGCGGCAACGCCTTCAGCTGCGTCGCCCGTGGTCTCGGCTACGAGGTCCTCGTCAGTGAGCTCGTCCAGGAGCGCAATGGCTGCGATGGTGATGTCCGTGTTTTCATGCGACAGGAGCGCAAGTATCGAAGCGTGAGAAGAGAGGTCAATGAGCGTTGGGTAGAGCTCGGGCACGGAGCTGAGCGTCGTAAGCGCCTTGATCTCCTCTGCCAGATCCGTCTCGGAATCGAGATACTTTAGCGGCTGGTCGGCGTACTTGGAGCGCAGATCCTGGTTCTTGGTCAGGACCTTTTCGAAGCGTAGCAGCATGCGCTTGAGAGACTGTAAGTCCACTCCCTCGGGCATCTGCAGCCAGCGCCAGCGTCAGCGGCCAAGCACCCCGGCCGCGGTTGTTGGCCAACTTCGGACACACATCTTCGCCTGCGTCCACAATGTCCATGATGCGCTGCCGTTCCGCAGACGCCCCGCTGCCGTGCAGACGCGGCTCGCCGACGTCGTCTGCAGCACTTCCGCCTGCGTCGCGGCCGCCCACGCGGCCGTCGGGGCCGGTGCGCTTGGCCGTCGACGACCCGACGCCCCAGCTGGCGCGGAACTCTTCGTCGGTCGTCTCTCGGATGGTGAGCTCATCCTCGCGCGAGCGCTTGGCGGCTGACAGAGACCCGAGCGCCTGCTGGCGCTTGAGCCGGCCTGCAGACGCAGCGCCTGGCGCCTGGCGGACCAGCACGCATGCCGCGGTCGTGAGGCCGGGTCAGCGGAGGCCTCGGCGGGGCAGACTGGCCCGGTCGGGTCGCACCTTGAAAAACGAGTCGATGTTCATGAGGGTAAGGTGCGCACGAAGGCGGCAACCGCAGGTGGTGTCCCTCGTCGCCTCGCACTTGCCGATGCTTGCGGCCGCACCGGTCGCACTCAGGAGGGACCTCACGAGAGCCGGGGCTGGATCGGCGGTCTGGCAGCCAACACCAGCTTACCCCAAAATGGCTGCGAGCGCGAGCAGCACACCCACCACGACGACTCCTGGTGGTGGCTCGGGCACCCGCGGCCGCGCCGACGGCGGCCTGGCGCGCGGACAGGCGCAACTGGGCCTGAGAGCTCAGCCGGGAACGCCGCCTGCGCCTCGTCCGGCCCCGCAGGACGCTCGGTCGCCGCTCCAGGCCACGACGCTAGACGACGTGATCGGCGCGATCGGATACGGCCTCTTCCAACAGACGCTGCTGCTGCTGGTGTGTGCACGCTGCGCTGGCCGGCGCCGTGCTGCGCGGCCGAGGCTGCTGACCCACCTTGCAGTGCGGGCTCGGCTGGGCGGCGGACTGCATGTGGCTGCAAGGCATGGCGCTGCTTGTGCCGCAGGTTCAGCGCTCGTTTGCGTTGCCCGTTGCCCAGAGCGGCATCATCATCTCGAGCATCTTCAGCGGCATGCTCGTTGGTGGGTTGAGAAGATGCCGTATCGGCCGCGCTGCCGTGCTGGCCCCGGCCGAGGTTGACGACAGGCCTCGCGATGCAGGCGCCATCTCGTGGGGTGCCCTGAGCGATCGGGTCGGCCGAAAGTATGCCTTCCACCTCACGCTGCCCGTCTCCACCCTCTTTGGCCTTCTGGCAAGCATCGCACCGACGATCGAGCTTCTGTGTCTCGCTGTGTTTGGCCTCGGATTTGGCGTGGGCGGACACATGCCCGTTGACGGCTGCCTCTTCATCGAGTTCTGCCCAAAGGAACATCAGTCGAAGCTCACGTTTCTGTCGGTCTTTTTCCAAGTCGGTGCGGTGCTCTCGGCCGTTATCATGCTCACGATTGTCTCTGTCCTGCCAGGCGGCTCGTGGCTGGGATTCGAATCTTGGCGCATCGTGCTTGTCGCCCAGGCGGCCGTCTCGCTCCTGATGTTTGTGAGTCAGACCCTTATCCACCTTGCTGCACTGGAATCTGCAATGTCTCATGCGCCGCACGCCGCCAGATATGCAGATGCACGCTCATTGACCTGCGCGAGTCGCCAAAGTTTTTGCTCGCAAAGGACAGGCGCTCCGAGGCCGTGCAAGCCCTCGAGCACGTAGCCGCTGTCAACGGCGCCGCGTTTACCTTCACTCCCGAGCAGATCAACTCACTCACCCTCGACGAGCTGGTCGACCCGGGGTCAGCAGACCAAGGCGCCGAGGCTGACAGCGAGACTGGCGCCGATACCCCGCTTCTCGGCCGGCCTGTCCAGCCGTCCATGTTCGATTCCAAGTACCGCACGACCACGCTGCTGCTCTTTGCAATCTGGATCCTAGTTGCACTTGGATACACCATGTTCAACGCATTCATTGCCAAGTTTATGGAGTCCAAGGGGATCTCGACGGTCCCGCAGTCCGAGTTTGACGTGTATCTCAATTGCCTCGTCTATGCTGCCTCAGCGATCCCGTCGGCCTGGATTGCTACTTGGCTTGTCGACACCAAGACATTCCAGCGCCGCGGCACCCTTGCATCCTCGGCCATTGCGTCCTCGGCCGTGCTGTGGATGTTTGTTGCCTCGTCGAGCCAGCTGGCCGTCCTAATCTCCAGCTCGCTTGTCAATGTGTTTTCGGCCATCTTGTATGCCGTGATCTACACATACACGCCAGAGGTTTACCCAACCTCAATCCGAGCGACTGCAAACGGAACATGCAGCGCACTCGGCAGGATGTGAGTGCTCGTGTGCCTGCTTTATTGACCCCGACTCATTGCTGACCTGTTGCGACAGTGCAGGCATTTTTTCGCCACTTGTCGGTGGCGCTCTCATGAGCATCTCACTTGAGATACCGCTGCATGTCAGCGCAAGTGCGATTCTGCTATCCGGAATCTGCGCTCTTCTGCTTCCAATCGAGACCCGCGTGCAGGAGTAGGCGAAGAACTTTTCTCCTGATAAATCAGCATATTTTCATTGCATCTCTCAAAAATTGAACTTGCACACGTATTTGACTTGCTCCTGATCGAGCATTCTTGCAAACATACCGTGTTCGGGTCCTTTTGAAGGATAAGGTGGTGTCCAAGTGATTGAGACTTGATTATGGTCAGACTCGCAACACCTGAATCGTATCACTTCTCGCAATATGCCAGCAAACGTAAGCCGTGGCACTGGAGTCGCTTTCTACTGCACTCAGCGCTCCAGTGCTTATTCATACTTATTGTGCCATTTGTAGTGTAAGTTGCACGGGCGGGCATTTTGATTCGCGTTTGCGGCGAGATCTGCCCGCCAACCGTCACTGGACGAGCTGGCAGGCGTTTTGAACGTGGTGTTGAGCAAGGCGTGGGATGCACCGCACGGCGCATGCAGCAAGTTGCTGCTGCAGAGCACTCGGCCCGAATGATCCGAAGCCGCACCACGAGAGTGACCATGAGCTGCTGCTCCCAGAGAGTCCGCCTGCGCCTCGATCATGGAGGCTCGTGTGACCATGTGCCGCAGGACTGGCGTCGGGTGCTATTGAAGCGCGCTTCCCTGGATCACGGCTGCCTCAAACAAGAGCACCGCCTGCTGGTCCCACCGGGCCGGTGAGAAGAAGGTCCGTGTTGGCATGAGCAAGCGAGATTGGGGACAATTGAGATGAAGCCGCCTTGAAGATGCTGCGGGAGGCACGGGCGTTCATTGACACGGGAGTGTGAGAGTGAGATGGAGCAGTGCAGGCTGTGTGGGAATGCCAGGAAGACGACAATTGATGCTGGTGGTCAAAACAGATTTGTGCCAAAGTTTGCATCCGTTTCCCAGCTGCAGAGTCGCACCAAACTGTCACAAAGGCAGAGGTTACCGTGAACAGTCTCGACTGATCGGAGTCCAAGCTCTGGCGACTCTGGCTGTGGCCTTCCCTGGCTCTTTGTTGATGGGAATCCGCCATGCCACTCGCCTGACCGCCATTTCAGAAGCTTTCTTCCTTCCCCGGGGTCTCGATTGAGGCTGCATGGATCGCGCTGGCAGCTCGAGACAAGACCCAGTGTGCTTGATGCAGCAGCAAATGTGATGCCCTGGGTCGGCCATTTGACTATATATTGAAGCCAGCAAGGCAAAAATGAGAAAATCCCAAAATTGAGAGACAGACCCACACCAACACGAAATGCCCCCACACATCCATGACAGCAAATTTTTGATGTGGGTTAGTTACGCACCCAACGAGTTTGGATCACAGGGAGCTGTGGAGGGAAGCACACGCGGAGCAGGTGTGTGTGCTACGGGTGTCTTTTGAGCCGAGGATTTGCCTATGGCACCGATATTTGATATTTTGCAAGCTTCTTTGGATCGGTGGCATTGCTTCTGAGTGATGTGATACTGAGTGGAGTTTGGGCAGAGTGGCATGGGTCATGTTGGCAGATTGGGACAGGTCTTAGCGCAATCGGCGCTTCTATGAGTGCCTCTACGTGTTGATTACAGGAACGCCGAGTTTTGAAGGCAGGGGGGCGGCGGAATGTGAACGCAAAGGAAGAGACTTGGTCCGAGCGGCGGAGTGGGGCGGAAGATTTGTAATTGACGTGGATTTTCGAAAGATCGCGTGCTTCCTTAGCTCAGCTGGGAGAGCGTTAGACTGAAGATCTAAAGGCCCCGTGTTCAATCCACGGAGGGAGCATGCTTTTTCGATGATATGCGCAATTTTTGATTAGTTTGGCATTCCTGAGGACGCGGAATTGTCGGACTTTGCGGCTGAGGACCAGAATCAAAATCCCGTTCTTGCACAACTCGACCATCCCGCTCTCGGCCCGACTGCAGGTCTTTTCGAGCGCGGTGCTCGGCGTCGCCGGGTACTGCCTCGAACTGATCGGTGGTAACCGCTCCCGCCTTGCCCCTCTGCAGACTCCGATCAACCGCGCTCTTCGTGAGCTGCTCAAGTTGCCCCGCCA